GTTAAAACCCAGTGTGCTTAAATAAGGATTACTCTGCTAATACCGGTGTCTTCTTAATGAAAGTAAATTAAAATTAGCAACAATAATAAATACATTCACTTGAGTGATGCCGATTGTGTTTGTTTGTTTGTTTGTTTGTTTGTTTGTTTGTTTGTTTGTTTGTTTATATGACGACTATGGACTATATGATAATAGGGGATAAAGGCAACTCACAACAAGTGAAACCATAAAACAACAACAGTTCTAAAAATATATACATATTAGGCATCAGATATTTGTATTCGTATCCCTGGGAGTACGAATATCAGTACTGTACCACAGATGCCAGGGAAAACTGGACCTTCTCCCCTAACTTGCAGGCCCACTTACCGCTCTCTGTGCAGTGCACACAGTTGGCATCATTCTTGTCACACCAATCTGGGAAGCAGCCCAGCCAGTGCTTCCCTGCCTCCCTGTGCAGCTGACAACTCCACAGAGGAGACAGGATGATGAGTCACTCAGCTGTTGAGTGGTTGGGTGTGCTGGGAGGCAGGGAATTGCTGGCTTCACATGCCGTGCTTCCCTGGGTGTGCTCGTGGCACAGTCAGCAGTAAGTGGACTTGCCAGTTTGGGAGGGGTTTCCAAGGCATCTGTGGTGCCAGTATTAATATTCAGATCCCCAGGGATATGAATACGAATATTCCATGTCTAATAAATAGTGTATTAATAAATTAAACATATATTTAGATTAAAACAAATTTTAAAACAACTTTAAAGATCTGTAAGTTAATAAACAAAGCGGTTTAAAAACCTGCCTGAAGAGGAAGGTCTTTGCCTGACAACAGAAGGACAAGAAGGACAGTGGCAACCTGGCTTTCCTAGGTAGCACATTCCAAAACCTAGGAGCCAACACTGAGAAGGCCCTCTCTCATGTCCTTGCCAAAGGAGCCACCTTCCCAGAGAGTGCTCAAAATAGTGCATGACAGAACCATGGACTCTACAATATACAATTTCAAATTAAGGTTAAAATAAAACTGGTAAAATATATAACAATGAAACAGAAGAGCCTGTTAAATTTAAATAATTGTCTAAATCAGTAAAAACTCAACAATTGTTATAAAACAATCTGAAGGTCTGATTGCTAAGATGGGAGTTCCATAAGCACAGTGCTAGGTACATTGAAGGCCCTCTGTCCCCGATTGTGGAGAAGGAGGGACATGTAAAAAAGGGGATTCAGATAATCAATGTAAATGCTAGGCTATGTAACATAGGAAAAATAATTTTACAGATATCTGGATCATAAACCAATTTAAAAAGAGATCTTCTGCAGTGGAATATCGGCAGATGGTTCTGGAATAGCTTTTAATAGCGCTATCCTGTGGGCCTGTTTTATGTAAAATCATATGACCCTAACACATGATACATTTTTTCACTGCATATTAAAATCACAGCAACCCCTACATTCACCCCGTTCAGAAATTATGTGTCTCTGAATATGTTGTACTGGATGGAAACCAGAGGCAAACATTCCTGATCTCCCTTTTTGTTCTTCTTATGGGCTTCTAGGAAAAATGTGTTTGGTTGCTGATGGAAATAAAATAAAATTAGATGGTACATGCTCTGATCCAGTGGCAAGTTCGTTAGTTATTGAACATCAGTTAAATATTTCAGAACAAAATAGCTGATTTATTCACTTGACCCTTGTCCTGCATGATTTATAAAAGCTACCAATGGGATTATGGTTGACTGGGCCATGAATATTGTGAACACCTCACTGAGGGAGGGATGTCTCCCCCTACTCGTGTGAAGGAGACCATTATCTGGACAGATTCAAGGTTCATATGGTCATCTACAAGACCCTCCATGGTTTGGGACCACTCTGCTTGCCATAGTGTCTTTTCCCAATGGCGTCTATCCACACCACTAGGTCTTCTCAGGCACTGCTCTTTTGGGTGGCCACTCCGAAGGAGGCCAGGAAATCATCTACCAGAACTAGGCTCTTCTTTGTGGTGCCACCAAAACTTCAGAGCCAATACCTGGTGGAGCTGCACCTGGCTTCCTCCTTCCCAATGTTTAAAAGGAGCCAGAGAATAGTTCTTTTCAGAGAGGCCTTTCCTGGTTACAAGGCCTGATTTTTCAATATGCCTTGTGTTCTGTGTGTTAGTTGTAATTTATGCTTCTTCGAGTTTGTGACTATTTTCTGTTTGTTTTGTTTTAATTTGATCAATTGATTGTTTTTATCATTGTAAACTGCCCCAAATAGTGTATAGCACTAATGGGGCAGTATATTAAATAATCGATTGATTGATTGATTGATTGATTGATTGATTGATTGATTGATTGAACTGAAACTCCTTACATTCATTATATATTACTGGTACCTTATATTCAGGTTTGGCATACAAGCAGTATAAAAGTTTTCAGTATTTCAGGGAAAAGCTGCAATTTCTTATTCTAAGTTATTCTTTCTTTAGTAGTTAGGATGAAGGAAAAAATTCTCACATTTTTCCAGCCTTCTTGGTGCTGCACTAACTCTTCCTTTCTTGCTTAGCATTCAGGATTTGACTGAGGGAAGCTGCAGAGTGGATCTGGAATACTGAGTCACAGTATCTGCTCTGTGACAGTAGTTTAGTTGTGCAACCTGAGAACAATGGCAGAGCAGCCATGTTGTAATTATTCTTCCCAGCATCCTTCAGGTACCACGTCCACTGGGAGTTGTAGCTGAAAAAAGATAAACATTTCTAGGTTCTGCAATGGTAAAAATAAACCCACTCACACAAACAATACTTCTTTGTCTCCTCCAGTTCTCAAAAAAAATAGCTCTAGCCCTTCTGAGATTGGAAGCAAGAGTCCACACTGCAGAGTACTGCTACCTTTAAGCAAGACAGAATAAACTCTGTCTGCTTTTGTCTGTGTATGTTTTTTTTTAAAAAAAGCACTGAATTTAAAGCCTTCAGTATTATTACTTGTTTGGGTTATTACAGCTGCGCAGAATAGCAAACCTAGGCATTCTCTATAAATTATTTAGAATCACAAAATTGTAGAATTGAAAGAGACCCAACAGTAATCTAGTCCAACATCCCATCAATGCAAGAGTTCACAGCTAAAGCATCTCTATCTGATGGATGTCTGATCAGTGTTAAAAAACCTCCAAAGAAGGAAAGACCATCACCTAAATTAGTCCATTCCCCAGCTGAACGCGTTACTATCAGAAAGTTCTAAATGCATAGTAAGGATCACCTTCATTGTAATTTGAATCAAGTTCTGTGCTCTGGAAATATGGAAAACAATCTTCCTCCATCATCCACATGGCAGTCCTTCAAATAGATGGCTATCATGTTACTCCCCAGGAGTAGTCTTCTCTTCTCCAGGCTAAACATGCCCACAGTCCTTCAGATATTTGAAGATGGCTATCACGTTACTCCCCAGGAATAGTCTTCTCTTCTCCAGCTAAACATGCCCAGCTCCCTTGACTGTTTCCTCACAGGGCTTGGATTCCAGACTTTTTACTGATGGAAAGAGAGTACTGTACATATACTGGAGTGTTGTGGATTTCAGGCCTTTGAGCCTTGGACTGCTTATGTGAGCACACTTCCCCCTTTTGTAAAGGAATCACATTTACACTCCACAAAAAAAAAAAAAAAAAGAAAAAAGCTTGTGGATGAGTGTGATTCCACTGCCAGTCAGAACAGCAGTTGATTTTAGAATTTGATTTGGGTTAAGAAAAAATTAAAATAAGTTTATTTGTCTCCATGACATAAATGAAATCATGGATTTCTTTTACACATACACCCCCAGCAGCATTTGGGTGGGGGTTGGAAGGCGAGGCAGAAGGTCACTTATTTTAAATTACATGCCAAACCAAATTGTCTCAATTGGTTTGGCATGTGTAAACCCCTCTATCAGAGTAAACTGCATCTTACCGACAAGGGGGAGGGAGAGAAACAAGGTGGAGAAGAGGAGGACCAGCCACAGCAGAAGAAGGTGGAGGAGCGCTGGACTTTGCTGCCTGGATCAGTTGTGCTGCATCCTGGATCAGCTGCCAGGCCTGTCCACCCCCCTCCCCGCCTGCCCATTCACTCGCTTACCATTCATTCAGTCACCTGTCCCCATTCACCTACCCTTGTTCCCTTTCCACCCCTTTCTCTCTTGTCCTCCTCTCTCTCCTAGATAGCATTTGCCCCCACTGCCCCTGCTGGACACAGCAACTCTCCATCATCTCGCATCCTGATTCTGTCTTCTGAGATATTAACTACCCTTCCCGTCTTGATGTCATATGTAAATATGATAAGCATTCTCTCTATGCTTTAATCCTTAGTAAAGATGTAGAATAACACTGGGATAATGTCAGAACTCTGCAGCAGCCCGTTTTTCACTTCTCTCCAGGATGATGAAGAACTGTTTCTAGGCTGTGGTCTGTCAACCAAATACAGTTTTATCATCTCTAGACTATATTCTACTAGCTTGTCTGCAAGAATATCATGAGAGACCTTACTGAAATCAAGATACGTATTTACAGCATTCCTCACATCTATTACACTTGTAATTACGAACAAAAAGAGATAAGATTAGTCTGGCATGTCTTGTTTTTTCAGGAACCCATAATCATAGCACTCTTTCTGAATACTCTCAGACTGTTTAATTATCTGTTGTAGAACCTTTCCTATGTCACTCTCAAGGTGATTCATTGGTAGTTGCCAGAGTTCCCTTTCCCTGACCCTCTTTTTTTGAAGAGTTACTTCTTGGGCTTTGCTTGGGCTACTACAGAATGAAAATATGAGACCAGGACAAGAAACAGAGCTGCTAGTCTCTTGAGGTTACATATTGGTTGTGAACAAGAAAAACAGAGGTACGGTGTCCAGAGGTAGAGTGTTCTGCTTTTTAACTAAAGAACTTCAAGCAGCTCCTGGGTACCCTTAGAAGCTCAATGAGTTCTGACATAAGTGAAGGAAGAAAAATGCTTATCACCAATTAGGAAGTCTGAAATTTATATGATTAAGTTGCTTTCTTATGTATTACAGGATGACTGCCTGTGGACTACATTGCAGCTGGGCTGACAGAATAAGTGAAATCTTACTAAGATGTAAGGTCTCTGTCTCTTTCTTTCTGCTGCATTTGATTCTGGCTACTTCTGGCAGAGGTAAGATTTTGTTTCCCACCTAAAAGCCAATATTATCTCTCTGTAAATATGTTATTTTATTTTATAATTTGCTGTCAAGTTGATTCAGACTGATGACAACTCTTCTCCCAGGCTTCCTTGATATAGAGTAGTTAGAGGTTATTTGCTATGTGCAGATTGTCCAAGCCATAGTATTGAAATTAAACTCCCAACCTCTGGCTATGCAGCCAGATATCCAACTTACTGGGAAATCAAGCCACCATAAAGAATTAATTTTTAAAAGAAAATACTCTGAACGGATTTTATTTTCACAGGAATCAATAGGCACACCAATATATGTAATCCAACCTAACTATTAGGAATATGTTTTATATGTATAATTTTATGGCACTTTTTGAAGTATACTCACCTATCTTGGTAATAAGCTAATCAGAGATCATGGTTTAGTTGGCAATGAATCAGAATGAAAACAAAACAAAATTAATTTTAGCATTAAAATACATTTAAATGAAACAGCATATGGTTTTCCCATATAAAATAAGGTGTTTTTGGACATTTTAATGGGGGTCTTCTCTAGAATACAGACATACTAGATCAAAGTATGTTTCTGGAATTATTATTTACACCAGGCTAGAAGCCTTATGGTAACATCCATTGCCCACAGAACAGCTGAAGGCAGCCTCTCTCTCTCTCTCTCTCTCTCACACACACACACACACACACAGAGAGAGAGAGAGAGAGAGAGAGAGAGAGAGAGACCCCGCACGTATAAAGAGAAAGAGAGACCCGGGACCTTTAGGAAGTGTGATTGGGCATTTTGGGCCGTTCTTCCCCCCCCCCCCGTGCAATCTTATTTAGGTCCATTGAAAACTTACTTGAAAAGGATCTGAGGAAATGGCTCTAGTGCTACTTGAATCATGAGAGATTGTTACTCTGATTTGGTATTGGGAGAAATGGAAGGATATCAACCCAATAAAATATGGATTGTTACTCTAATTAGGTATTGACAGAAAGGCAATATATAAATCAAATGACTAAATATAGTGTTTAATAACCATTTTAATGCCCCTATACCCTGTATTTGGAAAATAAATAGTAATATCCATTAGATATGCAGTATTTCAAATGTCATTAACAAAAGGGGACTGAATATTAAGCTGTAAATTTCCACAGCTATGCACTCAGAATAAGTTATCACTTAAAAAGAATAATCTATTTTTCATTCATTGGCCAGAATCCTGTTTGTTATTCCCACCAGCATAATACCAGCTGTGTAATTTTCAGTGATAAATTACCACAAGCTAGAAAATCAGCATAAGTATTTCTTATCTTGTACTCAGCCATGCAGTTGGTGTGTATTAGGAAATGCTGCACTCATTTATTCTTAATTCATCACTGCAGTTTACACCAGAGGTGATATGCTGATAGAAATAATGAATCAAATGTTGGCCCTTAAATCTATTTATTCCTTAGATTAATTTATTACCTTTTTAAAAAATGTTAGATTCAGCTGCCATTACATGCATTCCCAATAAGACAGGCAGGCATTTCACAGCAAATCATCATGCTGTATGCTCTTCTCAACCTACTGCACACAGCAGTGGTTCTCAGCACTTCCAGGTGCAGTATGAGGAAGCAGACCCCTGTAGGGGAGACAGATGGAGAGAAATGGAAGTAAGAAAGAAAGGGTATGTAGGCCACTGCTGCAGAAGAAAGAGAGGGGAGAAGTAACTGAACAGTCAGGACTGTGGTAGTACAGGAGGGGGAGAAAGGATCCCAATATGAGGTGCCACACAACTTCAGTGAAATGGACAAGGAAGAGCAGGGAGAAAAAAACAGAGGTTATTTTCAAATGAAGAAAATTGCACATTGCCTTCACCCCACTGCTCCATCTGGTCTGTCTCAAGGCCAGACCTAAAAAGGGACAAGGACCCCAATGCAGGATGGTCAGGCCCTAATCCAAACCTCTGGGCACCCTAGCTTTGCGTGATGTTTTTTCTGCAGTGGCTCTCACTAATAAAGAACTTATCATTTGTAGAAATTCTGGAATAATTAAAACTGAAAGAGAGCTCTACACAGCTCATATGCTCATCCGTGTTTATTTTGTTTGGGTTATACACTATGCGTGCAATAATTTAGTCAGCAAATTATGTTGCCAAGCAGCTGAACACTTAGCATAGAGGTGAATTCAGCTTTATAGCACACTGAAAGATTCAGAATTACTCAGAGCCAGTCCTACTATAAGGCAGAATGAAGCAGCAGAGGCCACAATCCACATTTTGCATGTTGGGAAAGGATGCAAAGCTATTAGTTATTTATTTAGTCCATTTGTTGTATATTTAATACCAGATATGGGAATAGATGCATATAGGATTTTCTGTGCTGTGTGTTACTATTAGGTGCATGGGTTTTCGTAATACAGTATGTTTTGCCTGAGAGCCCATCCTCCCTCACAAGATAAGAAGCAAGGGGGAAGGTGCTTCAGCAAGGCACTGTTTTCTCTCTCTTTGTGTGTGTGCCTTTTCTGCATTGGTTCAAGTGATCACGTGTCTGAATCAATGCAAAAAGATCTGGATTTTTTTAAAAGCAGAAGCCCCAGCAGTTGGAGGGAGTGGGGACTCTGGGCTGATTCACTTTCTCTTTGCATTGTGTGATCAATGCAAAAAAAATGTGAATCAGCCTACCCCAAACCTGTAATATTTCTTGTATTTTTTGTCAATGTGGTTGTCCCTTGAACAGGTTCCTTATGTCACCTCTCTAGTGTACAGGATCCTCTGCAGCATACAGAAACATGGCTTCTTCCCCCATCTTTGGTTTAACTGAACAAGGAAAGCCTACCCTCGTCTGGAAGGAATTCTGAGTTTAATATTTTTTAAATCACCTCTAATCTATCAAGGGAGAGTTTTTAATGTTCAGCAAAAACTCTTCCCATGCCAGCAAAATGGCATTAAAAACTGTTGGGGCTCTTTAAATATGAAATGTTGTAGATTTTTTAAGGTGTTCTTCACATTTTAAACATTTTTATTTTGTCATAAGATTAGACATACAGGTACAGAAAATCACAGTAATGTTGCATAAGCATGTAATTTTTGCACATAATTACTTTAAAAGTTTGTTTTCTTTCAAATAGCTGAGGTTGGTTTCTTGGGAAGATACAGAGCTGTGTTTAATACTTCATGTGAAGATGCCTGGACTTTATCACCAAGGATTTCTGTGCCTGCTCTTAGAAACTTCACAGTTTGTGTTTATTTTAAGCTGTACAGTCCCAAAAATAACTGGACAGCATTTGTCTACAGCAAAGCACCAGATGGTAATTTATCAGCATCAGACCACTATGAACTTGGACTGACAGGAAGTCGTGATAAACTCACTGTTTGGATGTTTGGCAAAGAAATCACCTGGTCAGAAGAACTGGATGAGGACACCTGGTACCAAATATGCATAAGATGGCAAAGTGGACGCCAGGAAGCAAGTGTTTATATTAATGGCAAAGAAAAAAGGTCTGAAAAATTATCTGAAACCAGACAACTTCTTGCAAATGGGCAACTTTTACTTGGATGCCCACAAAATCCTGACGTGTCCTCACCTTCTCCAGATGGGATGGTTGGTGAACTGTACATGTTCAGAATGTGGTCTAGTGGAGATATAAATCATACTCAAGATTGCCGAGATGGCACTATTATACGCTGGAGAAATAATAACTGGGTCTACAATAATAAGACTAAAGAATACAGCCGCTCTTTGCCTTGTGGTAAGTTATCCTATATTGGTATTTCTGAATTTGAGAATTTCTTGGCTAAATGTTGATTAAAAATGTAATTCCTTTATCAAGGGTGGGAAAATTCTGGGAACGAATTTCCTGGCTCCTCTGGCTTGCTGGGGGCCACACAACTGCCCCCTTCCAAAGATCAACACTGATCAAAAGTTCACTTCTGGTTTTGCAAAACCCTCTTTTACTTTAACAAAGATGCTGGTGGAGGGGAAGGGCTTCACCTTGTTAGTAAGGAAAATGGCTGGTTCTGGAGGCTCTCACAGGTATGTACATGTCAAATTAGACACTATAGTTAGCACATACAGTAATTAGAACACGAAAGCTGCTTGATGAGCTGTTTGCTGGTCTTTGACCGTAATAAAGTATACCTACCTACCTACCTTGATGAGCTGTGTGAAATTGCATATTAGATTGTGGGATTCCTTTTGATTCTTAAGGAATTGCTGCTGCTTATAACCAGCTCTCTGTAGTGTCTTGTTTGGTCCTAAAACAGTAGGAGGAGATCTGAGTTTACAGGCTGATCTGCATCATTACCAATGTCTCACCTGAAAAGAGTTCTTTAGTCCTCATGAAAAGGAATGAAATGTGTGATTTAGAAACATTATCTGCATATCAGTTGCTTGAGAGTCTACAGCCTGGTATACAGCCAGAAGCGTGGGTACAAGCTGGTACCATGGACTAAAGTAAGTTGGCTTGCTTTATATCACTGCCTCCATTATCCCATTCAGCTGTGCAAATGGGTGTGCCACCCAGTCTAAAATCCTCCACCCATGGAAACAGACTTTAGAGAAATGGAAACTGCTGCATTCATTGTGAACCTGTTACTAGAGACTAGCAAGATGTAGTAACACATTGCACCACCTTTTTTTAAATGTCTAGGAAGGCTGTCTGGAAATACATCTAAAATAAAACTTATCAAAATGATATTCATAAAATATCCTGTTGAAACCTTGCATTTAACTGTCATGGTCCATTTTGGGGAAAAAATTTGTTTTGTTAGTGGTAGTCAAAAGTATAAGCTTCAGACAAACCCTGGACAACTGTTTGTGCTGAGAAACATGTAAATAGAGTCATTTGCAACATGCATCTATATCAGTCTTTTTTCTCCTGTGTAAAATTAAATGTACTTGCAATTTGCATAGTTAGTTGAAATGAACCTGATCCAGATTGGAACCACAGCAGAGCAGTGAGATTAGAGCTCCCCGCACCCCACTAAACTCTCAGTCCAGATTGGGTTCACTTGACTTGTTTTCAAAGAGGAGCAGATGTATGTAATTAGATGCTACATATTAAAGCCTACTGTGAGCATGAGGGTTGTCCATATGAGTATGGGACATCTATTGATCTCAAAATTACATATGAGTTTTGATTCAAAGAATTAGCGGTTGAAAAACTGGCATATGAAAAATTATTGTATTAGTGATTCATAAATGCTTGAGCTAGGGCTACATCTGCATGCTATGGTTCCCAATAAGCACTTAAATTTCAACACCCATGCTTAAATGCCAAATCACCTTCTCCCAACTTCTGCATTCTAGTGTTGCCTTTATTTTGTATCATCTTTTTGAGTATAGTATATAGACTGAAAATTGCAACTGTAAACCTTTGAATAATTGATGTTCATGGAAGGACTCTGGTGTGTGTCAGAGCAATGCCACAGCTAGCCAGAACTACAGCAAGTTGAGTATCGTTGAGTACCTGTGACAGAAGGCAAGAGGCAATGGTCTCTTTGGCTCTCTTCCTGCCTCAGGAGGTAGAGTGGCAGCAAGCAGTGGTGCATTTGTGCGGGGATAAAGGCAGGGCCAACTCCAAAGTGAGGATGTTCAAGTCTAAGCGTGCATTGCCTGGGCGGAAATCCTGGTGACTAGAACTTGATCAGTAGTGTTTCTGTGGCACTCTGGGTTGCAGTTGTGTTCTGCTAGTGTTACAGGGACTGCTGAACTGAACGTTGATTCTTTATGGTGCATGTCAAGAAGAGGAGAGGACAATTAGGAATTTTTGTCATTGTCGTTTCTTTGCTTTGTTTTTGTTACATCTAGTAGACACAATTGGCCAATAAGCATGCATAACTCTGAAAATGCTTGCGCACTATATTTCAAAGGGCAATGATTAAACATGGGGGGAATACTGTAACTCTAGAAATGCTAGACTTGCTGATTTACATACCTGCTTCTTCGTCAAATGTCGAAAGAAAGAGCTCTAATAATATGACTTTTCCTTTATTTCCCCCTTCTAATTCTTTTCTTTGTTTCTCATACTGGGTGTGCTGTTTAAAAGGCATTCTCCTAGACTGCATGACATAAGTGCAGGTAGCCACCCTTGCCTCTGTGATAGTAGCAAGTGGGTCTTATTTCAGTGACTATTCCATGCGTATAAGTCAATACCTTTATTCTAGAAAAGGCATATGTTGCTTTGTTTGCATAAATATTTGCCACACATTGGCCATGTAGTCTGAGGGCAATGGAAGTCATTATCCAACACGTCTGAGGGTTTTGCCTCTCAATAGGTCTTCCATTAACAAATTCATTCTGCCCTGAAAAAAGGGGGCTGGATGGGAAGATGATACCCACTCCTGCAGTCAGAATGATTGTTAGGCATAGCAATTTCCACTTCCGTACACAAAGCAAGCAGAAGTATTTATGGAGAGTATGGAGGATGCTGTACCTTCTAGAGAACAGCATCTGTCAAGAGTCATCTGCTTTGGCCAAATATGTGCTCCCACAGATGACGACAAAGTTATCCATCAAACAGCTGCCGAGATTATCAAGGGAGCCTTATCTGGGTAACTCCTCATGAAATCTTGACAGCCTTGAGTGGTTTTGCAGTGCTGTAGTTCCTCTTGATCAACTGAACCTCTGATAAGTTTGGGGGCTTGACATATCGCTTAGTCCCATTTACTCTCTTACCTTCCGAAGGCAAGCAAAGACCCTTCTCTTCAGGCAGTTCCCCCCCCCCTGTTATTTGTTTTAATATTGTAAGCTACTTTGGGTTCTCTCGAGGAGAAAGGCGGGGTATAAATATTTTAAATCAATAATAAATGAGTAATTACCTAGAAATGTTCCAGGTTTGCATCAAGTTAGCACACTTAGAGTGCAAGACATGCTCATTTCTTTCAATAAACTGAATCCAAAACCTTCTGAGCTTTGGTCACTAGCCTTCTGTGACATTGACACTATTAATAACATGATTAATAATTTAAAGGATTCAAGGGTACTGCTGTATTCTCCAAGGACACTGCTGAATCCTTACCTTTTCAGCCCCCTAAATGATTCTGGTACCAGAAGAATAGTATTTTCTAGCTCATTCCTGAAGAAGTCAACTGTAGGGTTTCTTCTCCAAGTCCCACCCACCCACCAGTCCTCTGCAGTGAGGGGGATAAGTAGGGAATATATTCATTGTTCACTGTACTTCTGCAGCTTTTGATTTATCTTCCCAGAGAGGTCTGTCTGGCATCAGATGCATTCTCAGTGCCAAATTCAGAACTTTCTGTTTTCTTGACCTTTTAGATATGTTTTAATTCTGAGGTTTTAGTTTGTGTTGTTGTTTAGATTGTGCTGATGCTGTTTTAAATTATTAATGATGTTACTGTATTTATATGCCTAAGCCATAAGCTGCTCTGAAAATCTTTGTTTTAAAATGCAGGATGATAGTGATTATGGTGGTAATGATGGTGACACATAAAACCATGACTGCTGGCAACCCCAGGGAACGTTTCATAGAATAAGAGAGCAGGAGTAGCTTGTCTTATTCCCACTGGTGGGAGGAAAGGCACTTTTTCCACATACCTCTCTGTGAGCAAGTGAGCAGGACACTCAAGAAAGGTCTATCTCCGTGTTATACTGACTCTTCAAGGGTCCCTGCCAAAGCTATGTGGCAAGCACAGGGTGGATCCCTTCTCCTGGAGATTACCCTTGACTGAATGCACCAGTGGAGCCAGGAGGATAGAGAGACCCAGAAGGGCAAGAAGAGAAGTGGGGGAAAGCCTGCCAATGAAAGTTCCCATCAAGCAAGGAATATAAAGGAGCTGGAGGAAGAACTGAGGAGAGTTGGTGGGAAGGAGGAGGAAGAGAGTGAAGTAGAGGACCTGGGCTAATGCCCCTCAGTGGAGTGGAGAAGAGTCAGACTCCACAATATATGCTGGTTCTGTGGCTTCCAAATGCAGCCTTCTCTTGCCTGATTACATTCTGGACTATCTAAAAAGCAGTGATTCCCAACGTTGGGTGGCCCAGGTGTTCTTGGACTGTAGTTCCCACAAGCTTTCACCACCAGCTGTGTTGGCTGGGGTTTCTGGGAACTACAGTCCAAGAAGACCTGAGTTACTCAAGGTTGGGAACCACTGCTGTAGACCCTTTACCTGTTAAAGGCATGATGCTTTCTGTTTTAGTGCTATTTATAAAAGGAAACAAGGTGGCTACAGAGCCATTTCTTGGTGAATGATGCAAAGTTTGGAACTTTATTACTAAATATATGAAGTATACTATATATACTTTATATGAGGTATAAAGTTGCATGTGGTGTAAGTTCTACTGTTTATACCCTCTGGACTTACATTTTGACCTGACTACCTTGATCTAACAGTCTATGTGTTTTTTACTAATAAAGAGTACATTTACCCTTAGTGTGTTGATTCTCTTGACACATAGTTTTTAATTCCATAGAAGTGATGGCAAGAATGCTTACTGCACTGATCAGTTAAAAAAACACACACACATTTCACATTCTTTTGCAATAGTTTGAAGGATATTATGTTTCAGATATATTACTAGTATTTATTTTTAAGGCTAACTGTAATGAGGAGAATCATACGGTACGTTGAAGATTCACTAAACATTTGAATGTGGATTGTACTTTCAGATGTTTCCTTTAGTTTTTTTATAGTCATTTCTATCTAGAGCAGAGGCAGAACTCTTTTGTACGTTTTCTTTTTCCCCCTGTAGCAAAAGACCTAGGAGCAAGCAGGAAGACATTCCTCATTGTAT